CATTTTCAGTAGCTCACAATTGGTAGAAGAAATAAAGGTGGAACCACATGACTACAGAACAAGGCCGGTGAGGTCTGTGTTGGGAATGTAACTCAGTGGCGGAGCTCTTGCTTAGCCCCAAGTACTGCAAACAACAACACAGCCCCTTGTGGATTAAAATAAGTGGGCATGAATTTACTTCAGTCAGATCAGAAAATGCCATGTAGGGCAAGCATGATGTAATTCTAGCACTCAGGAGGCTGAGGCAGGAGGATCACCATGAATTCAAGGTCAGCCTGAACTCCATAGCAAGACCTGTCTAAAACAAAGCAAAAAAAAAAAAAAAAAAAAGAAGAAGAAGAAGGACTGAAAGAAGAAAGGCCCTGTGAAGTGACCTTGAGCCTATCTTCCAAGGGCAGATACAGTCCAGGTAGGCAGTGTAACAGTATGGCAAAGGTACGGCAGGAAAAGGCAGAACAGAGTGAGGAACAGCATGGAATCTGCCCGCCTTCTCTTGTTCTCCAGTGAATGTCACCCATCAGCCAGAGCAGGAATGGCACCTGCATGCTCATCCCCAGGAGATCTTCTTTTCTCAAGCAGATCCTCCTGCTTCAGCCTCCCAGCCCTAGCAAGAGAACTTGGCTTCTTGTAGGCTTTCCCAAAACCTTGCTGCAGAAGTCCTGCCCTGAGTGGGCTGGATGGTGTTTTGGGGAACCCCTGAAAGAGAGTGTGGGGCACCTCCTTAGCGTGCTTCCCTGAGACAGGGAGCAGCAGGGCCTGCACAGGTGGCTGCTGAGCCAACCTCAAGCCAAGCTCACTCAGTCTGTCCCTTCCTCTTGTACCCCCACCACAAGTGTTCGAGGAACCTCTGCTCTCTATGGGGTAGCTGAGGTGTCCCAAGTGCAGGTGGTGGGGCTGGAGGTGCAGTCAGAGGCAGGGACAGACCAGATCACACAGGCCTCGCTGTGCTTTCAGATTTGGTGATATTGGGTCATCGTGCTGCTGTGAAAACAAAAATAAATAAGGTAAGAACAGAGATGGGGCCTTTGGGAGATCTCCCTAATCAGGCAACACTTGAGCTGAGACCTGTTGCCAATAAAAGTGTGAAGTCCTTAAAAGAGTCCAGGGAAGAGTATCCTGGAAAAGTGAGTGCAGGGAAGAGCATTCTGGGAAAGTGAGTGCAGGGAAGAGCATTCTGGGAAAGTGAGTGCAGGGAAGAGCATTCTGGGGAAGTGAGTACTGTCATACTGGGCCCTCTGCCACCTTTCCCAGCCCTGGGTCACACCTCGGGTGTCCTCGGACTTCGAAGCCTCTGTGGCTCCTGCACTGGTCAGAGTAACACCTGATCATCTGATCTGGCCCCGCCTACTCTTTCAATCCCATTTCCATTGTCTGCACCCTCTGTCCACTCCAGCCACCCTGGTCTCCCTGCTGTTCCTCAAACACGACAGGCACGTTGTCCCCCAGGGCCTTTGCATGTGCCACTCATTTTCCCAGCATGCTCGTCCCTGCACTCACTTTCCCAGAATGCTCTTCACTGCACTTGCTTCCCCAGAATGCTCTTCCCTGTCCTCACTTCTCCAGAATGCTTGTCCTTGCACTCACTTTCCCAGAATGCTCTTCACTGCACTTGCTTCCCCAGAATGCTCTTCCCTGTCATGTTTGAGGAACAGCAGGGAGACCAGGGTGGCTGGAGTGGACAGAGGGTGCAGACAATGGAAATGGGATTGAAAGAGTAGGCGGGGCCAGATCAGATGATCAGGTGTTACTCTGACCAGTGCAGGAGCCACAGAGGCTTCGAAGTCCGAGGACACCCGAGGTGTGACCCAGGGCTGGGAAAGGTGGCAGAGGGCCCAGTATGACAGTGGGCTGCATTTCTGCCCAGGAGCAGCCAGGCCCACTTCTGCTTAGAGCAGATTTCAGGGGGCTGGAATGATCCCCCCAGACACTTCCAGGCTGGGCCCCCAAAAGGGGGTCAGGAGATGAAGATCGGTCCTGCTTCCGGGGGCCCAGGGACAGCAGCACCCATCCCAGGGCGGGAGGATGTTCTCACTGCCTCAGAGGAAACAGCACATCCCACATCAAAAGGGGCCCCGGGCACTCCCACGCTCAGTGTCGTGGGAACTCTGCTCCCTGGGGTTCTCGCAGGGGGTGGGGCTGCAGCTTAAGAGAGGTTGGGGGCCACCTCAGGACTGGGCCCCTTGCCCTCCAGCACCACTATCACATCCCACTCACAATCCTCTTCCCCAGACCCAGACTTAACACTTGCAACCTAGGACTCTAGTTTTTAAGAGGTTCTAGACATTTTAGGGCAGCCAAGATCTCAGACCTTCCTATCCTGGGGTCCCCCAGGACAGAGGCCCAGGAAGACTGGAGAATTGCAGGTAGCAGACCTTTGGCAGGAAATTGACTTTACTGATTGAAGAAGCCACCTGGAGAGCTGTGTTATGGATTCTGCTCAGCCTGAGGATTCTGTGATGGATTAGTGATGTCTACCACTGGTAGAAAAAAGACAGCTGTGGCATGTATGCTAAATGTTGCATCTGTCCACCCATTTCACAGATAGTCCTGAATAGAGGGAGGAATTTTTGCTTCTTGTGAGCTGGGAAGGAGGGAAGAAGAGTGGGGGTGGGGTTGGGGTGGGGGGAGAATAGATGTGCTAAGGATCTCAATGCATGTGTCTGGGGTGGGGGGACAGGGCTGGGAAGAGGAGGAACTGGAGGAAACAACTTGTGTGCTGTCCTGCAAAGTATGGAGAGAGACATTAGGGTGAGGATCTCTTCCAGGAGCCCCAGAAAATTTAACAGAGCCAGGGAAGGTCAGAAGGACACTCAGTGCCACAGGCTGCAGGACACAAGCTGGACCTCGCCACTGTCAGCCCCACACCCAGCTGTGAACATCAACTGTGTTCATTCATTTAAGCCTCACAAGGCTCTTCCCCATGGCAGATGGGGAAACTAAAGCATGGTGCCTCCACTGCCCAGGTCCTGAGGAGCCCAGGGCTCTTGCCCGCCCCACCCACCTCCCTTGGGAGCTGCGTGCGGTGTCTCCAAGTCATCAGCACCTTCAGCAGCCTGGTTGCCCATGCCATCTCCAGGCCCGCACGGCCTCCCCTCTGTGGCCAGCGGTGTAGGTGGCTGAGCCGCTGCAGAGTGGAAGGCCAACACGCGTACAGCACGAGGGCCCTGGCCATGTGTTGTGAGTGTGTACGAGCACATCTTTGCATGCCACATGACTTAGTGCGACTCGGCGTCACCTGTCCAGGCTGTGGGTGCTGATGGGCTCACCAAGAACAAGTGCCCATCGCCAGCGTGGCCATCTGCTTTTGCTCTGTGTCAGGCTGGGACAGACACACAGGATGTGGACGTGTGTGTGTGTGTGTGTGTGTGTGGTGATCTCTGGGCATGCACACTTGTATCTGGCTCTAATCTGTGTGTTCGTGGGCAAGGGGTGTCTCCTGGAGGTATCTGCGTGCATTCATGCATGGGCTATGTGTGCCCTGGTGTGTTCAGTGTCTTTCCTGAGCACGTGTGCGTCTGTGTCTGTGTTCATACGGGGTAGCGTGTTCCATACATATGAGCGCTGTGTCTGCTGTGTGTTCCCTGGGAGAGGGTTTTGTGCGTCCCAGTGCAGAGTGGGCACCGTGCGTGAAGCCTTCTGTGTGTCTGCACTGGTGTCTGGTGTGTCCCCGAAGCACATGTGTACTCATGTTCCTCAGAAACGCTGCTTCAGTGCTGCTGGACCTGCCACAGGGTGCCGCAGCCCACCTAGGGGTCTGTATGCTTCAAGATGCTCTGCAGCCAGCTCCTCTGTGCCACCTGGGCCTGCCAAGGATGGGGGACCAGGCAGCCCAGGCCAACATAGGTCTGATGAGGCAGACAGGTCCAGCAAGGCAGCCAGGGCTGCGGCACAGTCCTACCCACCAATCCCACTACTGGGGCACCACCAAGCTTCTGTGCCACCCCTAAAGTTCAGAGCCATCCCATTCTGAGTTGATCCAGTCAGGGTTCCTGCCCTCCCACTGCAAAATACCACTCACTGCTCCTACCTGTGCCAAAGTCATAGAGGCCCAGGGACACTGGCTTCAGTCCTCCCAGCACTGTGTTATTGCTCCACTTTGCAGAGAAAAGAGGCTCAGAGGCCTTGGTGACTTGCTGTGGCTGTTGCGGCAACACGTCTGTGACTTCTCTCTAAGAGCTCCTATCACACTCAGTGGCCAGATGCACAGCAGCGGCGTCGCTTGGTCAGGAGACACAGCTGACAGCGATTATGGTGGGGTGTGTGTGTGTGATGGTTTTAGAGTCTGTTAGATGCTGGGGTGCTCAGCTCGGAGGTGTAAAACTTCTCTGAATCTTCACAGTAAACCCAAAGAAAACTACACATCATCTCTCCTCTGCAGTGTGAGGGGACAGCTCAAGAGCGTGGTGGCAGGGTGGGTGTCTGCAGCGGCTTAGTGGTTGAGCTGAGATGTGGCACCAGCTTCGGCTGGCCCCAGAATCCGGAGGATGACTTTGCATTCAGACAGGACAGTGCCTCCGGCACAGGAACTGATGTCAGTAAATAGTACAGAGCAGGGTAAATGGACAGCCACAAAGGCCTTCGGAAAAGCGATTTTACTCTTGCTGACCCTGTCCTGAGACAGAACTTGCCAGAGCCAGTAGTGTGCTGTGAATCCCCAAGCAGGGGACAGCAGAATGCTCCCCGACTTTTTTTGATCCCTGAGTTCTTCTTTCCCAGAATGGTTTATGAGGATGGATGCTCCAAATTGAGAGCAAGCTGGGCACCGAGAGCTGCTAGCTGGAAGCTGCTAACTCACTAATCGTTGGGTTTTAGGCACAGAAGCAGATGGAGCCAAAATGTGCTTCCTGAGGGAAGGCCCGGTATCCCGTTGGGTCCTGACCATACCCCATCCCATGACTGGGAGTCACCGTAGGAACAGGGTTTCTAGATGACAAAGAGATGGAGATGCGCGGGAGGGGTGGGGAGCTGGCGTCTAGCTGCTGCCTCCTCTATCCATGCAGGGTCCCCGCGCTCCCAGTGAAGAACTTGAATGGTACCGGCCCAGTCCACCCGGCCCTGGCAGGTGAGGTCGACCTCAGAACTGGAAAGAAAGGCGGTGCAACAACGAGGCAGCCCTGTCCATCAGGCTGGGACTCCGCCCCCTGGCCAGCTGGTGGGCGGGACCACATGACTCCCCTCCTTTCATTGGGATGATGTTAATGGGCGGGGCAGAGGCCTGACCACACTGGCTCCGGAGGGGCGGGGCGCGTGGCCCGAGGATTTGCCCTCCAGTGCAGGGAGGGCTGGGGTGTGGGCGTGGCCGCTTTGGACACATCTCCTGACGGCCTGCCCCGCCCTGCCCCAGGGATGACCGGAATCCTACTGTGTGCTGCCGGGCTGCCAGTGTGCCTGACACGCGCCCCGAAGCCTATCCTGCACCCGCCCCCTGTGAGCAAGAGTGACGTCAAGCCGGTGCCCGGCGTGCCTGGCGTGTGCCGCAAGACTAAGAAGAAGCACCTCAAAAAGAGTACGCCTTCTGCCGCCTCGGACCCCTGAACCTGGATGTGCAATCAGGCCTTGCCATCTCACCTGCAACCCCTCAAGTCACCCCTTTCCTCCAGCCCGTCCTTCATGCACTCCCACTACAGTAACCCCAGCAACCCCTGACCCCATCCCAAGCCAGGAGCCACGCCCAGGCCCCTGGTGCCTCAAACCTGTGTCCTTACCTGTGTCCCTGCAGGTAAGAATCCAGAGGATGTGGTTCGGCGGTACATGCAGAAGGTGAAAAATCCGCCTGACGAGGTGAGACCCCTGGGGAGGGTCTAGACCTGGGACTCCAGTCTTTGCCCCCCAGCATGACTTGCCTGGGGTGCCAGCCACTGCAGACCTCTCTCCCTGCCTCTCCCTGCCCTGTATTTGCTTTATGGGGTCTCTGGTTTAGGTTTAATAGTGCATTTATCAACCTTTTTTTCTCTTTGAGGTACTGGGGATTGAACCCAGGGCCTTGGAAGTAGTAAGCTACCTACATCCTCAGCCCCTCAGATCTCTTGAGACAGAATCTTGCTAAACTGCTCAATCGCCTGGGCTAGGCTCCAGTTTGCAGTCCTCCTCCCTAAGCCTCCCAGAATGCTGGGATTACAGGCATGCACCCCCATGGGGACTACATGTATCGATCTCATGATGATTGGCAGCTTCATGTCACACTTTCGCCCATACTGTCCCCGACAGGCTTTTAGGTTTTGCCTTTGAGAGTTTAGCCTCTATCCATCCATCCGGAGGAGGTGGGGTGTGAGGGAGGCGTGTCTTCCTCCAGGATGGCTCAGTTCAGTATCTGAAGAGGGTCCTCTCCCCCTCGGCAATACCGGTGCCACAGAAGGTCTTCAGCCTGAGGTGGGCAAAGCCCAACCCCCAAGCAGGGCAAGTGCCAACCTGGAAGGTGTCCCCTCCATGTCCCCTGCAGGACTGCACCATCTGCATGGAACGGCTGGTCACAGCATCGGGCTATGAGGGTGTACTTCGCCACAAGGGTGTGCGGCCGGAGCTGGTCGGCCGCCTGGGCCGCTGTGGGCACATGTACCACCTGCTATGCCTCGTGGCCATGTACTCCAATGGCAACAAGGTGTGTGGATGGGGGAGGGCATATATGGGGTGGAGTGGGGTGCAGTGGACAAGACCCTGAGACTCACGGCAGACTCCCTACCCAGGATGGCAGCCTGCAGTGCCCAACCTGCAAAGCTATCTACGGTGAGAAGACAGGAACACAGCCTCCTGGGAAGATGGAATTCCACCTCATCCCCCACTCCTTGCCGGGCTTCGCGGACACCCAGACCATCCGCATCGTCTATGACATCCCCACAGGAATCCAGGTGCTCGATGCCCCTGCAGGCCCATCTAGGTCCCCACCCAACACCTCCCCCTCCAGGGCCCGAAACTGCCTGTGGCTTATGCCCCGCCCTCCCCCACAGGGACCTGAGCACCCCAATCCTGGGAAGAGGTTCACAGCTAGAGGCTTCCCGCGCCACTGCTATCTGCCCAACAATGAGAAGGGCCGGAAGGTGGGTGTCGCCCTGCTCCCTGGGCCCAGGTTCCCGCTGTCCCCATCCTCCTCTCCTCCTCTCCCCCCAGCCAGTGCCCAGACAGCAAGCAGCATCACCCACAACAGCACCAGCCCCTTCACACACCTCCTCTTGTGCACCGCCCAGTGAGCTCTAGGCCTGGACCCCACTCTGCAGGCAGGGCAAGACCAGCAGCCACTAAATGGCAGAGTCGGGATATGGACCCAGGCAGCTCAAGGCTTCATACCACACTACAGATTGTCCGATTTTACCTGCTTTGGGTCTTTTTTTTTTTTTTTAAGAGAAGCCAGAAATTCAAATTTTCATGTGAAATCGCTAGGTTTTTTTCTTTAATATTGGCAACTAATTCTCTAAGTGGCCATTTAATGCAGTGCGGGGTCTGACCCGACTGCAGCCGAGAGCTGTTGGTTTGAGGCCTTTCCTTCACCCCAGAAGAAACAGGCACTTTGGGAACAGCTTTTACTAAGTGAGTTGGGGGAAGAGGGGAGCAGGCCAGAAATACAAACAGGAAGGAAGCAGCTGGGCCAAGCATGCACCGTAGGTGCTAGCTCAGGCCAGCTGCAGGCTAGCATGGGGTGAACCTGGGGCTGCCGGTGACCCGTGCCTGCCTGTAGGTGCTGCGGCTGCTCATCACGGCCTGGGAGCGGAGACTTATCTTCACCATTGGCACGTCCAACACCACGGGCGAGTCGGACACCGTAGTGTGGAATGAGATTCACCACAAGACCGAGTTTGGATCCAACCTCACGGGCCATGGCTACCCGGACGCCAGCTACCTAGACAACGTGCTGGCTGAGCTCACGGCCCAGGGTGTGTCTGAGGCTGTGGCCAAGGCGTGAGGCCTGAGTCTACACATCTGCCCTCCTGCTTTGCCCCTGGTCCGGCACATGCCTCCCTCCACCAGGTGCGACCTGGTGGCCCCAGTTCAGGGCTGGGAGGAGCCTGCACAAGGAGCCGGGAGCATCCTGGGGATTTGCTTGGTGGCATTTGGGATATGGGAGGCTACCAGGCCTGTTGGCTGTGACCCGTAGCTCCCTGAGAGGGCCACAAAGAGAAGACCAGAAGCCACAGTGACCTCCCTACCAGAAAGACAGCGACCCACCCCTCACACACAAACACGCGTCCTGGTGAACATGCACGCACGCACGCACACCCACGTGCCTCCACACTCCCCCAGGTGGGGGGAGAAGAGAAAGACCCCATCTGTGTCCCTGCTGCCTCTGTATAGGCTTGTCTGCACCTGGGACTCAGGGCGAGCACTGAGGACCTCTGGGGTTCTCGGGGGGACAGAGAACTGGGGGAGCTTGGTCTCCCCATGCTCACCTCCCTGCTCTGTCTCTGCCCCCATGGCAGAAGCCCCCAGACCATTGCGTAGTTTTACCCAGGGGAGACCAGAGCACACAGGGATATGAGACATCTTATTTTGTGTTGTGTCTATTTCTTCATCCTTCGGGGACTCTGGCTTCCTCCTCCCAGTCCCTTTCCAGGCCTTATATCCACCCCACATGAAGGCACCTTTCTTCCTTCCCGACCCCATCCTCTCCACCAAGTCCTCCCAACTTTGAGATCCAAAGGCTGTGGCTTCTGCTTTCAGGAGCAAGAGGAGAAGGCCTGGGTCAGGCCAGCACACTGAAAGCTAGAGAGGATTGCAAAGCGTTAATTCCCCTCTCCTGGGGAGTGGGCAGTAGGGTGGCAGATTGTCTCTAGCCAACCAGGGGCCCGTTGCCCAGGCAACTCACCAGCTCCGCCTCTGTTGATTGGCTGTCCCAGTGGAAGTCAGCCAAGATTTAAAGGGACGCCAGCAATCACGCTTTTGAAAAACCGTACCAGTCCCACTGTGGGTGGAGAAATAAATGGTCTTTCTCCTCCTCACTCCAGTCTGTTCCTGCCAAAAGGGCTGGGTGGCTGTGTGTGTCCTGAGGGGCCTTGGGAAACATGGGAATTGATAGCTTGCAAAAGAAGGGCACCTCCAGGCCATTGATTGGGGCCACTGGAGTGGAAGGTCCCTAATTTTGTCCTGGAGCAAGAAGGGTAAGTGACTGAGAGGCACTCACTACCAGCCCTCCTGAACCCTGAAGGGACAGTGGCCTGCTCTGCAACAGCAGCACAAGAGAATGCACACACCTGCTCTTCAACAGTGACAAGGCAGGGGGCTTGGCTGGGGCAGCTGCGCAGGGTCAGACAAGGCAGAGCCCAGGCTCTTCAAGGCTCACTTAACATCTGGCTGGCTGTGGCCAAGGCTATGGGTCCGGGCGACCTCTGCTGGCCTCCTGTGGGATTGCGCCATGTCTTCTGGGAAGCACTTGATGGCAACCAGGCTGCCTTGAGCATCCTGTCATATCCTCCCCACCCAGTTACACAACACAAGTCTTTGGAGGTCCTTTAGGATCCACCAGTCAGGTGTCCCCAAAGATAGTCTTGTGGCTCATTCCCTAAGCATCACCTCAAATTCGAATGGAGCTTGCCCACTGCCCAGGGCAATGACCTCCTTTAACTGGTTGGAAACCCTGACTCCTGCCACTGCAAACCCACAGACCCTGAGTCAGTGGCCAGGTGCAGCCTGGGAATCTCTTCCCAGCAGACAGGGTCTGAATCTGAGTATCTGATCCCAGAAGCTTGGGGTTGGGCCCTCAGTAATGTTTACAAAAGAATTGGTGAGGTTGGAGGATTTGAAGACACAGAAACAGGAAGGGCTGAGACCATTTAGTGCCCATCTGGGCAAAAGGGCACGGGCAGGGGGCTGAGGTTTCAGGTATAGCTGTATCCAGCCGCTCTGGGCTTTGTAGCTGTGGGGAGAGGCTCATCCGGCAGGGCAGACTCCAGGCTGAGTGGATCAGGCTCCTCGTCCACATTCAGTGCAGTGTGGCCAGCCATGGGACTTCCATGCCCCACGTGGACTGGGGCGCACAGGACAGGCACGTCTCCAGGAGATTCCGAGCCACAACATCGCAGAGGAACAGGACAGTCTCAGGGAGACTCCGGCACCAGAGGACACTGAGGCGGCCCCATGGCTCCCGGCTCCTTCTCAGCAGACTCTATGGCTTCCTCAGGACCCCCAGGGGCCTGGCACCACCTTCCCCTGGCCCCGCCACAGGAACTCCTCATGGGCACGATCCAGGTCCTCCAGCACCTCCAGCAGGTGGGCAGCTGCTGCTTTCTGCCGGGCCAGAGCCTCCGGGCAGGACCCTGGGGGGACACAGGGTCACCTTGTCTCAGGCCAGCAGGACAGCAGCTAGCACCTGAACCCAGGGCCTCTCAAGCTATAGCCTGGGCTTCTGCCCTGCAAACGTCAGAAGTACTGGTGCCCCCACAGTCCTGGAAGTGGGAGGGTGGACAGGCAGACACAGCTGCCCTCAGTGAGCTGCGGGGAAGAGAAAGGTACCTTCCTTACCCTGCCCTGTGTGTGCTTCTGCAGCCGCATCCAGGTTGGACTCCTCCAGGAATTTCAGCCTGGAGGTGGACAGGGAGAAAGACCAGGCTGGCTTCAGAGTCCGAGTCCTGCCCCAGACCCTGAGTGGCCTGCTGGCTGCTGGAGAAATTACAGGAGCCCTAAAGCATCATTGTTACCACCACCATGGCAAACAGTTTTAGTGCAGCAGCCACTGCGCTGAGCCCTTCATGTGTACTAACTCATCTAGTGATCACACCTAACTTCGACGAGGTCCCTACGACAGATAATCACTAGACACAGAGACACAGTAGCTTGCCTGATGTCACACAGCATATTAATAATCATTACTGTGTATTGAAAGATGGCTATGTGCCCAGGGACCTACAAAGGGCTGGGTTAGCTCCTCTGATCCTTAGGCGGGGTGTGTTATTACCTACGAGGAAACTGACGCAGAGAAGGTAAGCAATTTGCGCGAGGCCACACAGCCAGCAGATGGCATAGCCAGGACCTGAGTGCAGGCAGGCTGGCTTCAGAACCCACTCAAAAATGGGCTGGGACAAATCCCCCTGACTAAACAACAGTCATCTTAAGGCCAGCAGGGGAAGGGACCCAGGCCAGGTTGCACAGCAAGCTCGGGGGCCAGGGTTCTGTGTATTGTACCCATGTCTCTAGAGCAGGGACAGAAGAGCTCAAGGTTCAGTTCTGCATTAGGACCCCAGGAGGGTGACCCCCAAGATCCCCAGGCTGCCCCTTTCCAGCAGGGCATGAGGAGTGGGGTACAAGGGGGACAGGCACCTGAGCTGGTCCCGCCCCAGCAGCAGCTGCCTGTAGACTGTCTGGGCCTCGGCATCAGGATCCAGTGGGTCGCTCCAGTCGCCCAGGGTCACAGCCGCATGGGTGCGGCTGCAGCCAGCAGCTGAGGGAACAGGGACGCAGCGTCATGGGAGCACCTCTGTCCTCCACAGGATGCCACACTGTCCAGGTGCCTCCGTGCCCTGCCTGCAGCCTCTCAGAGCCCTCCTCAGCCCAGCCCTCCTCCGCTCTCGAGCCCCTGGTGCCACTGCCCTAGGCCTCCGCTCTCCCTGCCTCCAAGGCTGCTTCCTGGACCCCAGCCATAACAGTCCAGCCTACTCTGAGAGTCAGCACAGGACAGGTCTTGAAAAAGCAGCATCGCCTGATTCAATAGCGCATGGGCCCCTTTACCCTTACAGGACCCTACGAAGCAGGCCCCAGCATCAGCCCCATCTCACAGCTGAGGAAACAGAAGCACAGCAAGGCTAAGTAACTTGCCCAAGGCAGCACAGCCCACCCAGGCAGAAGTGAGCTGCCGAGAGGTGCAGAGGCAGAGCCTGCAGGGGCCCCACTCCCTCACCTGAGCGCTCTGTCTGGAGGCAGCAGGTCCAGCGCCCCCCGCGGAAGGCCCCAGGGTGGCAGGCGGCCAGCTTGTCCTGGTTGGGGTTGCTGGCTTTGCGCAGGGCTGACAGCCACTGGTTGAGCTCATTCACATTCTGCGACGGGGTGGGGCAGTCAGGAGCTGGGGGTGCCTAGGGTCGCCCTTGCCCTGCCTCTTGGGCCTCACCTTGCACTGGAGGTAGGTGGTGTGCAGCGTCCCCATCCCCGAGCCATCCCGTGTCACTACTTGCATCACGTGCGGCAGCTGGAAGGCCCCCTCATCCACACGCTCCACAGCACAGATATGCGGCACTGGGATGGCGGTGTGAACCTGGGGACAGGATTGTCTCTGCAGGCAGCTGGGGACCACAGACCTCATGGTGTGCATCAGGTGGAGGCCCTCCGGACAAGGACGTTCAACCCCATGGGTGCTTGTGAGTGCACGTGAATACCCCATATCCCACAGCCCTGCCCATCGCTGCCTGAGTAAAGGGCTTGGTTTCTCTGGGCCTTCTTTTTTTTCATCACCTTTAACCACCACCACCACCACCATCTCCATCACCACCATCACCATCATCTCCATCACCACCACTCTAAGATTTTTTTTTTTCCCCCGAAACTGGGGATTGAACTCAGGCCCTCGTGCTTGCCAGGGAAGAGCTTATTCCACTGATCCATCTCCCCAGCACCCCCACCATCACCACCACCACCACCACCACCACCACCACCACCACCACCACCACCACCACCACTATAGCGACCACTTCTACAGCACATGCTCTTAGCACTTCCCATTTATCAATAGATTTAATCACGCTCCCCCCGTTGGGTCTGTCATTCTCCCAGATTGTAGATGAAAAGGCTGGGGACAAGATGCCAGCAAGCCTCCCAAGATCACTCAGCCCACAGAGCCAGACTAGACCCCGGGGTGCCTAGAGTCGGCTGTGCTGATGAACAGAAGCAGCAGCGTGGCCCAGCCCAAGGCCACTGCCATTGTGTGTGTGGTGCACACAGGAACAGGGAGGGCCCTGCAGGGGTCTGCTCTGTGCCAGGGAGTGCCAGTGCTGGGAGATACACAGGGAGACACACGTGTTGTCCCTGTCCTCCTTGTGTAGTCCCCTGGGCTAACTCGCACACAGGAGGCCCTCAGTGCATATTTGCTGAATGAACGAATCTATGAAGGAAGGAGGAGCAGATGCCTGGACACACGTGTCCACATGGCTGGGCATCCCCAAGGGAACACATCCAATCTTACCTGAGTCTCGACAGCACCAGGGAGGGTGGTGAGAGCCACACCTGCTCCTGTCCTGTGGCACTCCGGCACCCAGCCAGAGCAGAGCCTGAGCAGCTGTTGCTGCGGCATTTGGGGACCTGTCCCTGCCCTTGTCTCAGATCCCTGTGTGGGGGGAGGCCACTGTGGGAGAGGCCACCGCTGAGGCAGGAGCTTACCTGGCACTCGGGGCCCTTGGAGTAGGACAGTGTTTCCCCACTGAGCCGGAAGTAGCGCTTCTTGAAGGCGAAGCACGTGGCCAGGCTGCCACGCTCCTCCTTGCGCTTCAGCAGGAAGCCTTCTCGGACAGTCACCGAGGATGGCACCAGGGCCCTGGCAGGGCTGCCAGCCTCTGGGGAGGAGGAAGAAGATGGGCACAGTGAACAGGAAGGAGCACTTGACTGAATCCCACCTTGTTGCGTGCGGGCTCTGTCCTTCTCCAACCCTGCCAGTAGGAAGGTGCCACAGGGGAGCTCGGCCCCACGTGCACCTGCACCAGCCTCACCATGCTGCCACCACCCGCGCCCCACACATGCACAGGTCACCCCCAATGGGCTTAGATCCAACTGTGCCCTGCCCTGTCTGGACCCACAAAGGGAAGTGGCCTGGACTCTACAACCTCTTCCCCACTTCAGCTCAAAGTGAAAGTACCACCCATGCCCGCCGTCCAGCCCCTCACCACTCCTCCACCCCCTCTCCCTCACCAGCCTCCTCCTGATACGCTGTTCCTACCTGAGGGCCTTCGTACCTGCTCTGCCTCCCCTACAGCACCCCCCAAGATGCTCAGAGCCTCCCCCCTCCCCAACATTCCCTCCCTCCCTTATGTTCTCCTCCCTAACACATGGAGTTGGATTGTTCTTGTTCACAGCCCATGGGCCCCGCTAGAACAAAACTTCTGGGACAGCAATCTTCGGTCTCACTCGCTGCTGGGTTTCAAGAGCCTAGGAGGGTCCCCATTACAGAGTAGGCACTTAACAGATTTTTGCCGAGGGCCTGCATCCCATGCCGCACTCCTAGCTGGGCTCCCACCCTTGTCAGCTCTGTTCATCTCCAGCAAATGTCAGCTGACTAACTGATCCACATTCCCAGTGCTGAGGACGTCAGGACCCAGCGGGGTAGAGGCGAGTGGTCCAGGTTGCGGGGGGACCTAGGGGTGGCAGCGCCACAGGAGCTCACCCTCGTCCGCCCGCACATCCACCAGCTGGTCCAGAAAGTCCTTCACGCGGGCAACGCTTTGCAACAGGAAGGGGTGCAGGGGTGCCATCCACTGCTCCTTGCCCTGGCCCAGCTGCTGGCCCAAGTTGCCGATGCTCTGCACAGCCTGCAGGAGGGCCGAGGTGCCAGGGCTGAGTCACATGGACCAGAGGGGGACCAGCACAGGGTCAAGGTCCAGCTGCTTACATGGGTGTTGGGGCCAGCAGGAGGCTCAGGCCAATACAGCCCTGAAGGCATGTACTCTGCCTTCCCCCTTTTGGAATCTGCGCCCAGGGCCTCTGTTCTGTTCCCTCCCAAGCCTAGACCTACACAAGGATTCTCAGTCCTACTGAACTACTCAGGAGCCCAGGACAGCCTCAAGGTGCTGCCGCTTTGCTAAGGAGGATCTAATTCATACTAAAGTGTAAGTGCCTGCCTGTCTGCTTCCCACATCCCCCTGGAATGGCTGAGGTTGGATTATAAAGCAGGAACTGGAAAGTGGAAGGGGAACACTAGGATGGACTGCTGAGTGTGGGCCTCTGGGGACCGGTTCCTGTCCCTGGAGCGGCACCTTGGCAAGCAGCAGCAGGGAGCGGCTGGTCTGGGGGTCTGCGTGCTGGTCCCGGAGGTCAAACAGTTTCGGCGTGAGGATGGCAGGCGCGAAGAAGCGCAGGAAGAGAAAGCCGCTGACGGCCAGGTACTTCACATCCTGTAGGGCAGGGGCAGGTAAGGCACCCAGAGCCCCCCCCCCAGGCATCAGGGACTAGAAATGGGGGTCCCAGAGAGAGTGGGAGCAGATGGGTGGGAGGCTGCTGCTCCAGATATCGCTGGTCCTCACACAGAGCAGCCACGAGGCCCAGGGTCACAGAGCCCCGAGGCACAGCCGGGACCTGCACCCAGGCGGTGTGCGAATTCTGCTTCTCTGCACATGCTCCTGCCAGGCAAGCCCAGCTGCAGGGGGCCGGGGACATGGCTCAGTGGAATAAGCACTTCCCCGGCTGCAGGGGGCACTCACGCTCACTTCCGGCCCTCACATCACTCTGCACTGGGGTACTGCACCTCCATTTCCCAGAAGAAACCGAGGCCCGATGAACTGTCCAACAGGCTGCCAGGCCTGTGCCCTCCCTGGGGGTCCTCACCCCACCCCAAAACTGCTCCCCCTCCTGCTCACACTTGTGAGTGGGAGCTCCTGCTCCTGTGTTTATTTTGGGATGGCATTCACACAGAGACAGCCCCTCCCCAGGCACCTGCAGCTTCCTGGGACAGGAAAGAGCCGGGCATTGGGCCAGCCAGAGGGGGACCCCCACCATCTGGAGCCCCACGCTGTCCCCCATTTCCCACCAGCCAGCTCCCAGGGTCACTTAATCCCAATGCCCGCCCTCCTGGGCATGAGAGAGTCCCCACCCCTCACACCCCTGAAGGCTAAGAGGTGGGTGACTCTGGGCGGCCCTGATGCCAGCGCCCTCCCAGGACTCAGGCTGTCTGGGGAGTCTCCCCCCTTCCTCCCCTGGTCCCAGCTGCCACAGCTGTGTCCCACTTAACACCTCCTTGGCAGCCAGGTGATAGGCTGGCAGGCAGGGGTGCCAACCAGCTCCACAAGCAGGGAGGGAGGATGGGAGCAACCCCAACCAGGAGGTGTGGGGGGCGCTAAGTCTGAGTTTGCCACGTTGGGCCCAGGTGTTTTGACCTCTCTGGGCCCTGGTTTCCCCCCACACACACAGATCCCCAACCCCCTCTCCTCCCCGTTAACACCCCCCTCCCACACGTGCGCTTCGGAAGTGTGGAGAGAGGGACCTCGATAACCGCTCTCAGCCCAGGCTCTGAGGTGGGGCTGCTCCATGTCCCACGTCCCTCCATTTCAGGTCTTTCTGCAAAGTGAACCTCAGTTCGCATTCCCAGCACTTTTGCACCACGTTAAGAGTTAGTCTCGTGGTTGTCCCTTGTAGACAAAGATGAGGACAGCCACCTGGGAAGGTGTACTGGGCATGAAGCCAAAGGACAGCCCACGCCTCGGTGTGTGACGGGCCGTCCACAATCATTCTGGTTCGTTTAGCTGAATTCGTGAGGACATGTTCTTTCCTGGGTACCGAGGAGTGAACCCAGGCCCTTCCCACTGAGCTACATCCCCAGTGCTGTTGTTTAATCACTTTGAGACAAGGTCACGCTAAGTCACTAAGCTGCCCAGGCTGGACTTGGACTGTGATCCCCCTGCCTCAGCCTCTCTGAGCGGAGCTATCAGGCATGTGCCGCCAGGCCTCACAGGGCTGGCATTTTAAAAATGAGAAACCTCATATAAAATCCTGGTGTGGTTATACTAGGACCTATTCCTCTGAGGTCACCATGGTTTAGGGCGGCTCCTTTTGAGGACCTGGGGAGATGTTGTCTCCACAGGCTCCTCCTCTCCTGCCGCCCCACACCTACTGTGTTCACAGGCCCTCCTGCCTGCTCCTGCAGCCCTTGGGTTTCTGAACACAGCATGGCAGTATCACCCTTTTAGACCTTATTTTGGATTTTGGGGGCTTGTTTTGGGTTTTTTTGTTTTTGTTTTTGCTTTTGTTTTTTTGAGACAAGGTCTTAGGGGCTGGGGAGATGGCTCGGTGGATAAGCACTTCCCTGGCAAGTGCAAGGGCCTGAGTTCAATCCCCCGTTCTGCCAAAAAAAAAAAAAAAAAACTGACAAGAGACAAGGTCTTGCCCTGTACTGCAGGTTGGCCTCGAACTCATAGCAATCTTTCTGCCTCAGCCTCCTCCGTGCTGAGATTACCAGTGTGCACCACCACACCTGGCTATTTGGGGGGGGTTCTGAGACCCCCAAAGCTCCCTCTGATCCCCACCGCTATGCCCAGCTCTATAATGTAGTGCCAGCTCTTACTAACTGTACAATCTAATCTCTCTGGACCTAAGTTTCCTTCTCTGCAAAATGGGTATAATACTGGAATCCACTTCACCAGGTAAGTGTGAAGATTAGAAAACATAAAAATCTGGTCCATGAGGGCCGGTGAGATAGCTCAGCGGAGCAAGAACCTGCTTTGACAAACGGACCAGGGTTCGATGGGATTACCGGTCCCACATGCTGCACCAGTCCCACCCCCAGGATGCGCTGAGCCGGCAAATGAATCAGGGCATGGTGGCACACGCCTGTAGTCCCAGTGCTGGGGAGGCTGAAAACAGGAGGATCACTGTGAGTCTGAGCTGCATAGTGAAACCCTGTATCAAATACGTAAATAAAGAAGAAAGAGAGCCAGGGAGATGGCTCAGTAGAATAAGCACTTGCCTGGCAAGTACAAGGGCCTGAGTTCAATCCCCGGTTCCATAAAAAAAAAGAAAAGAAAAGAAAAGAAAGAAGGAAGGAAGGAAGGAAGGAAGGAAGGAAGGAAGGAAGAAAGAAAGAAAGAAAGAAAGAAAGAAAGAAAGAAAGAAAGAAAGAAAGAAAGAAAGAGAAAGAAAAAGATGTGGCCATGGCCAGGAGCCCCAGATGCCACCCCACTGCAGTCCCCAAGGAGCTGGAGTCCACCCACCCACCCCTGCCTGGAAGTCACCTGGTGCTCGGCGGCGGGAAAGTGCTCCTCCACGCACTGCTGCAGCTTCCGGAAGGCCAGGCGCATGGCAGCCGGGCAGCGCCCTGCAGAGCCCACCATGGCATCCACGATGAGCCCCAGGTAGCTGGTGAGCAGCCCCAGGCTGGTCTCCCGCACCTGCTCCTCTGAGGGCGTGCCCTTGAACGAGATCCTCCTGGGAGGTGCAGAGAGCCTCAGTCCCGGGGCTCAGACTGCACCCTGTGTTGTTGCTCCAACACTTCACTCCATTCAAGAGCCTTTGCAGGGTCTGATCCCTTCTCTGTGACACCCTTGACACCACCTCCTCGCAGCAGCTGCCTTCCCTGTCGCTCAGTATGCTCAGATGCCAGACCCCCGCCCACCCTCCACCCCCACCACAGGGCCTTTGCCCTTGCTGTGCACCCCACCTGGACTGCCTTCCACCGAGTCCTCACGACTCCCTCTCTCATGGACATCAAGTCTTTGCCTGAGCGTCCCCTATCTGTGGGGCTGCTCCTGTCACCACCCTGTAGGACATTATGATAACCTCCCCTGCTTTAGAATGAGGACCTGCCCTTCCTTCCCTGGACTCAGCAGTGGCTGTGGTGCCCAGCTCTTCTCTGACTTCCTGTCATTTAACCCTCATGTGACCCCATGGGTTAAGTAGCCTAAGTGATCCATTTAACAGAGAGGGAAACTCAGGCTCAGAGGTTGCCCTGCAAATAGGTACAGAGCTGCGTGCTGAACAGAAGACTGCCAACTCTGTCTGCCTGCCACCTTACCCTGCCCAAGGCCCTGGGTGTCCTGTCTCTGGGGCACCCACCAAGTCTCCCTAGGCCCTACTCCATGGAGTCACAGATGGACTCTGCCCCTCTGCTCAGGATCTGGGTTCAAATTTCGACTGCAATTCCCAGGCTGCAGGCCTGTAGGCAGGTGTTCTGCTCTGAGGCTATTGTCTCATCTGTAGAATGGGAGTCTAAAAGCTGCTTCTGGGGTGGTTGGAGGATGGGTAGGCACAAAGGGAAGGACAACCCTTCTCACACTTATCCCACTACTGTCCCTGTCACCCACCCATCCTCAGAAAAGCTGCTGCCACTCAGGACGCGCAGGGCTTGCAGGGAAAACTCCGCTGGTGCTCACAACAGTACCACATCTCGGGTGACATCTTGAGGCCCAGGACACGGAAGCCCAGGATTCAAACCTGGGGAACTCCTGCCAGAGCCGCTACACTGCACAGCCCAAGGGCCGGGGCTGGCAGCTGACTCAGGTTACCCGCACAGCTCCAGATGGGAGGATCAGGTGTGGCCCTCCGCCTAGCTCACCTGGCCCGTCCCAGATCCATTTTGCCCGGGTCCAGCTCTATGTACTTCTTCTCCTCGAACACGCGATTGATGATCGGCTTCAGCACCTCGTGCAAGTAGCGCATGCCCACGAGCTGGGGATGCCCAAGAGGTGGCTGAGGACGGCTGGGGCGAGGCCGAAGGGCAGTGAGGCGGGGCCAAGGGGTAGTGAGGCGGGGCCAAGGGGCGGATGGGGCGGGGCAGAGCTGCCACCACAGGAGGGGGACCCGACCAAGTCAGGGTGGGCGGGGCTGCCTTGCGGAGTCCCTGCCCCACCCAAGGGGACAGGGTCAGAGCGAGGGTGTGGAGCTCCTGAGGCCAGCCGGGGGAAGAGATTACACACACGCCACTGCCGCCCTTGTACCTTTGCAGACCGACACCTTCTCACCTTCATGAACTGCTCCACAGCCTTGGATGCCAGTGAGTTAGAACGGAAGAGGGTGTTGGGGTCAGCTGGGAGAACACAGGGATGCGTTTGCTGGGCTTGGGGGCTGGACCAGTCTGCCCTGGTCACCCAAGGCGGGTGTCATAATCCTCCCAGCCCCAAGAATCAGGATCATGGCCAGGCAAGCTTCCTGAGTCACACAGCTCACAAACAACAAAATTGGGAGTGTGCTCTCAGGTGCTTGGGGTGCACAGCACAGGGACACTCACCCACCCATCCACACACACACACACAGGAGCTCCCAGTCCCAGCCCCCCCTCACCTTCCCAGGACCCTCCTGCCACCAGCCTGGAGGGTGACTTTCAGGGGGCGATGGGAGAAACTCACTGGTTCGAGCAACCTCGCGCCGGGTGAGATAGTCCAGAAAGGGCCCGGCCAGGCCCTGGCCAAGAAACAGCTTCACCAGCTTGGTGGCCAGGTCCTGGCGGCAGTCCCCTGAGGTCAGCTCCTCCAGAACAGCCAGGGGGCTGGCAATGTCCTCCTGAGCGGCGACAGCAGGCTGGAGGTGACCTGGGGTCCTGGGACACCCAAGCACAAAGCCCCGCAGCCAGGCTCGCCAGCACACGCACCCACCTCCGGGGGACCCCGAACGGCTTCCAGCAGCAGCTCCATGAGGGGCCGGTAGCACTTCGAGGGCAGGACGCGGTCCTCGGCCAGCCGCACCTTCAGCCGCAGGGCGCCCAGGCTACCACTGCAAGGCCAGACAGCAGGAGATCGGCAGGTGTGAGCACAGCCATGGAGAGAGCGGAGCAGCACAGACAGGTGTAGGCAGGTGTGAAAGGCGTCGAGGGGCCGGTAGGATGGACAGACCCCACCGTGTGTGACCAGTGTGGAAAGATGAGGCCAGTGTCAGCAAATGTGTGTGCACAAGGAAGTGTGGATCTGTGGACACCTGCACAGGCGTGAACTGATGCTAACCGGTATGGGCAGGAACACAGAAGTGGAGACGGGACAGTGTGACCGGTGAGAATAAGCACAAGGGACAGGTGGGAATAGGTGGGACAGGACCCAGAGTTCTGAGCTCGCAAGTGTGCCCCGGGCAGGGGGGGGGATTGTGACCTCTATCGGGTGCATGTGAACACACCTGGAGAGACACCCCAAGACACTCCTTGAAGGAGGGATGATGGAGGGATGGAGCAGCCAGTGATACTGTGTGGGCTGAGCTTGCACACCCCACAGCCCCACCTCCAAGGTTCCAGAGCCCCCTCCCTCTGCACCCCCATTACCCAGAATCCACCTCGGCTGTAGGGAAGGGCTGCAGGCGGAACCAGCCATTGGGCGGCTTGTGCTGCAGGACCTGCGGGGAGAACTCCACCTGCCGGGAACACAGAGCCTCAGCCTGCACCACCCGGAGTGTGGCCTGCCTGGGCTGGCCGCCACCTCCTCCCTCCTGGCCCTAAATCATTCTCTCGTGGGGACACAACATTCAGCTACGACACTGAGGCTCCGGGAGCCCAAGATCACACTCTGCTACCGACAGGATGTGGGGACTGGGAATATTGTCAGCTGTTTAGAGACATAGGTGGTATCCACCCCAAGGCCTAACGACTGTCTAGAAGGCCTGCAGACTCCACCCCTTCTCTCTTTTAAATAACTTCAGAGAGGTACAATTCACCTATTTCAAGGACTCATGGGTTTTCAGAGGGTGGTGTGAACATCACCACTGATTTTAAAGCCTTTTCCCTCAGCCGGTGAGAAGCCTCACTATGAGACACCCTCCTGGCCTCTGGCCCTTCCTGGGCCTGTGGAGTTGCCTATTCACTGACCTCTCCTAGAAGTAGAAACTATGCCCTACTTTGGGAGACTGATTTCTTCCACCAAGTGTCAGTTTCAAAGCTCACCCCACACTGCAGCAGGAACTAATGCCCCATTCCTCTTCATGGCTGAGTAATATTCCATGACATGAATTTGCCACATTTTGTTGGTCTGTTGGACATTTGGGCTGTGCCCACTTAAGATTACCACCAATAATGCCTGTGAACAGCCCTCTTGAAGTCTGTGTGTGAGCAAAGGTTTCCCTCTCTTTCAGTAGCTATGTGCAGCTGGGATGGCCAGATCCATTGCCAACTCTGTCTTTTTTTTTTTTTTAAATTTTATTTATTTATGTGTATGTGTGTGGCCAGCTCAGCCCACCAGGGGGCGGGGCTGGCTGGCATGTGGTGCTGGGGGATTGAACCGTGGTCCCTGTGCTTTGCAAAGCTTGTTCTAAATAGGTGCTTTAGACCACTGAGCCATCTCACCAGCCCGCCAACTCTGTCTTTAACGGTTTGAGGACCCGCCAGTCATTTTGCCAAGCCATTTGCACCTTTTTACGTCACTTCCAACAACCGTGACAACACCTCTCTCCCCCATCCAGTTCTTTCTCCTTCCAAGACACTGCTTTCATTCACAGCTGCAGAAGGGGCTGGCTGAGGGGGCCGCACCCATTTTATACCTGGAGGAAAAGGAGGACCTCGAGCCTCAAGCCCAGGTCAAGGAGCCTGGGAGTGGAAGCTGGAGAACTCCTGGTGCTGTCATTTCTGCCCTGACCTTGAGAAAGCCACCCCACCTTCCCAAACCTCTCTGAACTTCCATCACGCAGCCGTCCTGGGCCCTGACCAGCCAGCCTGCGTCCCTCCTCCTGAGCACACTCCTCGGCACCCCCCAGGGGCACTGGGGAGCCACAGAGGGTGTTGAGGGAGGGTCGCTCACCATGCCCAGGAAGTCGTTCTTGCCCACCATGTCCCAGTCCCAGAGCTCCACGCGCAGCGGGGCTGGGGCGCCCGACGTTTCCCAGAGCTCCAGCACCTCATCCCAGTGTGGGAAGCGGGTCTTCTTGATGATCTGGGACAGGGCGGAACCCGGAAGTGAGGGAGTGGACAGCGCCCCCTGCTAGGTACCCCGCTCCTGCCACCCCACTGCCCGCTCACCGAGCTCTCTAGGCTCTGGCTGCCCCAGAACAGGCGTGCAAATGGATCCGATGTGCCAGAGATGTCTCGGGGGGCCAGGTCCCTGGGGACAGAGGAGGAGAGGAGTGAGGTGATGTAGGACCCTCGAGGACCATGGCCCAGGGTGGGCCATGAAAGGGATACTGGGTAGATCCAGCGAGTTAATGCCACTGGTTTCCATGGCAACAACCCATCCAATCCCAGCGCTCCTGGTCACCTCATGCACCCCATGAGGAAGCACTAGTATTCTCATCTTTCCAAATGAGGAAACTGAGGCACAGAAGGATCAGGCTCAGCAAGTGAAGGGGTCATGCAGAGGGAAACGGGAGACTCAGTCCCTACTGCAGCCCTGGAGGGGGACCAGATGCAAGATTTCCAAGCCTGGCTCTGCACTCACTGGCTGCAGTGACACTGGGAAAAGTCACTTTACCTCTCGGAGCTTCTGTTTTCTCATCTGAAAAATGGGAATAAGAGGAGACCAACCTCATGGGGCCCAGGATTGAATGAGATAGGGGGACAAAGCACTTAGCACAGCATCTATTCAGTCAACAAACATGCATGCCCACACCCTCCTTAGGAACAAAGAGAAGACTTGAGACAGGAAGCCCCTGCTTCTGGTTGCCATGACAACTCCAAAGCCTCACCCAAGTTAGCTTCCCAGGCCTCCTCCTTGAGGCCCCCAATTCACAACCACCACCCCACCATCACCACCAGGGCCTGCTTGCTTCCTCCTCCTGCTCCCTTCCCAGCCCAGCTCTGCATCTAAAGCCTCTGGTTTCCTAGGAGCCCAGCACAGTTGCTAAGCGACAGCAATCGGTCCCACTCAGGCTGGTGAAGATCCTGCACTGCCCTGCGGCTGGGGAGGGGGCCCTGGGCAGGAAGCACTGAGGGGCAGCAGTCCCTGCCTCTGCGCTGTTCCCTCATCCAGACCAGGGAGACCAGCAGGGCCAAGGCCGGGACAGAAATCTGAAGGTGATGTGAGAGACTCAGAGAGGGAGAGGAGGCTTTCGTGGTCACACAGCAAGCTAGAAATAGATTCTCCCCAACCTGGCCTGAAAATCGGGGGTAGGGGGAGGACCATAGCCAAAAGGCAGGAAATGAGAGGGAAGAGGGAGGAGTGGTGTAAGGGGATGGAAGGGTCTGAGAGTCAGGGTGGAAGAGAGTCTACTGATGTCCCCGAGTGGTGGCCTGGGAGCCGTTGGTGGGCTCTGCTGTCCACCTGTCTTCCTTCCCATTTTTCTTTGGGACAGGGCCTACCCTGCCTCCCTCTCCCCCGACAGGCTTGTCCCTTCCTCCCAGACCAACCAGAAATCGCCATATGCCCCATCCAGGGCACGGTCTGCTGGAGCAGCCAAGGAGACAGGAGGCCAGGCTGGGGCTCCTAGAGCCATTCTGCCCCCACCTGGGAGGGGCCGCCTGGGAATGATGCAAACACAGAGGACAACACAGCCAAGGGTGGGGACCCCGGGTGACGCTGCCTGAGCACCTGGGCCCGGTCATGCCTGACACCACCGCCAGTGTACCAGCTCTTCCACTTAGGCCAGGACAGACTGAGTAGCTGCCTGCTATAGTTTGAAGCTCACACAGAGCCCATCTGCCTGGCCATCCTGAGGGGCTGGGCTCTTGCTTATCTCTGGAAACCCAACAAGACTTTGCATGTGACTTGTCCTGGCTCTGGGAAGTCAGTGCGCTTGGGCTATGTGTACACGCAGGGGTCCTGCTGTGATCGCAGAAATGCCCCAGCCCTGAGGGCCCCTTGGGCCAGCGGCAGGGGCGCTGTGGGAGCTCTCTGTCCTCAGCATGGGTCCTCCAGGACCTACCTGGCCTGCAGCAGGTGGCAGCGAAGACAGCGGCCCCGCGCATCCTGCAGCAGCTGCACGGCCAGGCGCACCTCGCCCTGAACCTCAGCGTCCGGGTCCACACGGCTCAGGTTGATCCAGCTGTCGATCCCTGTGGGCACAGGCAGCGCGTTCACACAGCCCCAGCTGCACACTCACTTTCATGTGACACATAATGTGAGCTTAAAGCTCCTTGACGTTAAGCACATTGGCTGGTTGGTTGGTCGGTCAAGGTCTCACTAGGCTACTCAGGCCAGTTTGGGGCTTGCGAAGCCCCTGTCTCAGCCTCCCCAGTAGCTGGGATTTGCATACATGTACCACTCTGCCTGGCATAGACATTGAGCTTTTCATTTTTCATTATTGTTTGTAAGCCTTTGATGGTTTAATGTGATGATTTTTTTTTTTTTGCTTTTATTTTTTACCTTTCTTAGGATGACATCTTTTATCTCTAAATAATATATATATATATATATATATATATATATATATATATATATATATATATATATATATATATATATATATTTAGGGCCAAGTGTTGTGCACACCAGTAATCACAACCCGTTGGGAGGCTGAGGCAGGAGCATACCATGAGCTCAGCCTGGACAATTTAGCAAGACACTGTCTCAAAACAATATTTTGGGCCAGGAATATAGCTCAACAGTACAGCATCTGTCAGCAAGTGCAAGGCTGGGCTATGGCTCACTCTGAGGGCCCTGGATTGAATCCCGAGTACCACAATGAAGGGAATAGGGAAAGAAGAAAAGGAAGGAAGGAAGGAAGGAAGGAGTTTTTGAAGCCCTGTAGGATACAATGAGGAAAGCTGGGAGCTTGCTGGGCAGGTGGGCGCCCCTGTGATTCCGGCTAGATGGCCCCTATCCTTGTGTGTCTGGTGACTGACGCGTTGGTAACTCAAGACCTCGCTGTGACCCTGTGGGAGTGTCCAAGGGTCTGCCCCTCAAGCCCCATCTCGCTTCGCTCCACCACTGCTGTCACCCCAGGTCGCAAATGCCACCAGCTCTGTCCCTTGATCAGCATACCAGGCTCCCGACTGATCTCCGGTTCCCCCATCCTGCCGCCACCCACAGCGACCCTCTGACACAGCAGTCTCTCCTGTCACTCCCCCTCCCAGTAATATAGCTCGGATCACTGCTCTAGAATCATCAGTGGCTCCCCATCACCTCCAAAGAAAGCCCCGCATGGAACAGTCAGCCCCTCCACTCAACCCATCGAGGGTTCTGCTTGTCACTGCAGACGTCCGAGCCAGGAGGAGGATCCACCCCTACACACCCACCCTGCCAGTCCTCCAGGAAGCCCTCCTGGACCCGCCATCTCTCATGCCTCTCGTCGCCAGCACCAGGCCATCCGCAGGCTTCGTGTCACAGGCATACAGTAAAAGGACCCGCAGGCGCACGCAGGGCTCCCGGTCCTGTTCTCTCCCCCGTGCAGTGCGGATGCATTTTCTGTCCTTCTCCAGCCCCTGAAGCGCTTGGAGTTGAGCCCAGACCGCGTCCATTTAGCCTCTAGTCGTGAGCAGCTCGGGGCTGGGCTTGGAGGTGGGCACCCCCCCACCCCCCGGGGCCAGCGACCCTGTCTCGGCAGCGTCCAGGCCCCGGATGCTGTGCTGTGCCTGCCGCTGTGAACTGGACCTCGCGCCAGCGCACACTGCGTGGGGGATGCGAGGATTCACGTGCAGCCCCTCACGCCACGGAGCCCTCCCGAAATAGCAGACTTTCAGATCATTGCCCTGAAGAGAAAATAGACCGCCTGGTGAAGGGCGCAGAGGCAATCTGCAGCCAAAGTACCGAGGCTCCCTCTCAAGCCCACACCTTCTATCAAGATGCATCCCAACAGGCAAAGACTTAAATGTTAAAACACGGAACAAATGGTTGCTAGGAGGCACCGTGTTTAAAAAAAATGCCAGCAGACATGAGGGTGCACTGTGGGAGGCTGAAGCAGGAGCATCCCAAGCTGGAGCCCAGCCCGGGCAGTTTAGCAACTTAGTGAGACCGTGTCTCTAAACACCAAATAAAGGGTAGAGTTTCAGATCAATCTCCAAATCCATTAAAAAAAAAAAGGCAGGGCTGGCTAAATAGCTCAGCGGATTAAAGCACTTATAAGCAGGCGCAGGGGCCAGGAGTTTGATCCCCAGGCCTGCAGTGCCGGCTTGCGCCTGGGGTGTGCTGAGACAGCAAATGGGACTGGGTGTGGTGGCGCATGCCTGTAATCCCAGCTCTTGGGAGGCTGTAAACAGGCGGATCACTAGGAGTCCAATCTAGTAGTGAGACCCTGAACACCCTGTAGACTCTTCCCTTAAAAAAAAGAAAAAAAAAATTAAATAAATAAATAAATAAATAAAAATGGCTACCTGAATCTCAGTGCTAGAAAGTGTTCCTTTTGTGTTTTTGTTTGCTTGATCATTTGGTTTTAGACTGCTAGGGAGCAAACCCAGGCTAGGACGGTGCTAGCCAAGCGCTGTGCCCAGAGCACACGCACTCCAGGGGAGATCTCTTTGTGTATAAAGAAAATCAGTAGTACACACACACACATTTTTGACTACAAGAAAAAGAAAATTTACTGCATAGAAAAAATTATGCCTGTAATCCTAGCACTGGGGAAGCTGAGACTGGAGCATCTCCATGAATCCGAGGCCAGCCTGGGCTACTTAGGGAGTTCACGGACAGCCTGAGCTACATGATGAAAGCCTATCTCAAAAAAGAAAAGAAAAGAAAGAAAACCTATCTCAGAAAAAGAAAAAATGTATGAGCAAGGTCAGAATGTAGGCAACAAAGAAAAATACATTCACAGCTCATATGACAGGTGACAGGTGAGCTTCCCTCATAGGTAAAAAGCTCCTACTAAGCAATAAAAAAGCAGACAAGTCAGTGGGCAAAAGCACTCATCTAATATGGACAAAAGTAGCCAAAGGAGGCTGGGGAGATAGCTCAGCGGCATAAGTATCTGTCTGGCAAGCGCAAGGACCTGGGTTCAATTCCTGGTACCTGCTGACCTCAGAACCCCAGGCGCGCCATGCTGACCACTGAAACCAGGCGTGGTGGCTCACGCCTGCCATCTCAGCACTGGGGAGGCTGAGACAGGAGGATCACTACAAGCCCAAACTTCATAGCGAGACCCTGTATAAAAAGTAGTCCAAAGTGATTCTAAACATATTAAACATACAGAACAGGGTTTGAGCTCGTTCATACGGAGGGTGGAATAAAGTTACACTAAAGAATGTGTTCTCAAGCCCACCTGTAAGAACCTGGCTGGCAGGTGGAGAGGGCGCACGGTGTGCGAGATCAGGCCAACCCCGGGCTATTTGCTGCGACACCATTTGAACTAGGAAAATATTGTGAACAACCCGACCGCTACTGAGAGGAGCCGGCCAGGTGGCAACGGCACAAGCGCACTACAAAGTCCCGTGACCTTCTGCAAAGCACAACAAATGCAGGAACCTGCACAGCACATGGAAAGATCTAAATGATACATGGAAGAGAAAGAAGGGAAGGCGCACAAGAGCGAGGGTGATGCGCTACTATTTGTGTGAGCACACACATACGTGGTGCGGTCCTAAAGCTCACACTTGGGAGTCAGACACCCTTGGTTCAAATCCTAGCCCCTGTGACCTTGGGGCAGACCACTTAACCTTCTGTGCCTCAGTTTACTCACCAAAAACTGGGCACCATGAGGGCACCCGCCTTTTGGGGGTAAAGTTTGCTAGTCTCACAGCCGTCTTTATTCCTACTTGTAAGGCCTCCAGTCTCTAGGGCTGAGTCGGGAGTGGTGCCACACCCCTCGAGTTCCAGCACGCTGAGGCTGAGGCCAAAAGATTGAAAGGTGGAGTCCAACCAGGCCGTGTAGCTAGTCAGCAAGACCCCATCTCCAAGTGGAAAGGGGCTGGGGTGTAGCTCAGTGCAAAGGCTGTGTGTTTGATCAGCAGGATGGAGGAGGGAGAGGAGGAAGAAGGGGAGGGAGAGGAAGAGGGGACCACTAGAAGGCTGCACAAGATGCCAACCACAGAGGAGGGGAATGAGCCCTTGAATGACAGAGTTTCAATGCCCGGGGCATAAGGTGAGCCCTGAGCTACAGAAGTGAATGAACTGCTCATTAAAAGGACAGAATGAGAAACGAAGGGCCACAGGCCCAGGACCAGTGCTCCGCTCCCAGCCCCACTCCCTGCCCTCCCCAGCCTGCAGCGCCCTCACCCACCTCGGGGGTCAGCTGTGATGACCTCCTTGCTCAGGGATACCTTGCCGATGACATCGTCGTGCCTGTGGGTGGTGACCAGGACACCAGAGTCAGGGACCTGCCACCCACCAGGCAGAAGGACCAGGGCGCAAGTGCTGGGACCCCTCCCCTCCACACCAGGCCCCCCGCACACACCCAACAGTGTCCTCATCCAGCACATAGAAGGCCAGGTGGTGGAAGTCCAGCGGCAGGTGCACTGTGTACTCCTCCCCCCAGAACGGGCTCAGGCTGCGCCACACAGTCGCTGTCCTGCAGGAGGAGGGGTCGGGGACACGGACAGGATGCCACTGCATCCAGAGAGACACACAGACACACACCCAGCACACACACATGCACACACACACACAAGCATACCCAGGGACACAGGGACACACACATACACACAGGCAGAGAGACACACCCAGACATACCCAGGCAGCCAGGGACACCACATGCATGGGCACAATCACACACACACACACACACACACCCAGGAGTGTGTAGACACACACCTCTGGGTCTGCAGATTCAGATGCTGTCACTCAACTAGACACATGCTGGAACACGGGCACACACACACACACCTGCAGCACCGCACAGCCAACGTGCACACACATGCACACGCACACATGCACACATGCACAGTCGCTCTCGTGCACAGCTTCATCCCGTCAGGAACTGGGTCAGCCGAGTGGCCTCTGGGTAGGGCTGGGGGTCAGGGAAGGCTTCCTGCAGGAGCAGGCCAAGCAGAAGGGAGAGCAGTAAGGAGGGCACGCGCTCCAGATGGCCGCGCGGCATTGCAAGGGCCCCGAGCCTGAGGCAGGAGCAAGCAGCTTCCTGTTCAGAGACCAGAAGTCAGTCAGTGAGGAGGTGGGGACAGGGACAAAAAGGCCAGGATGGCCTGAGGCTGCCGCAGGGACCATTAGGCCCAGAAGCAGGGGGATACACGCACACACATGTGCACACACACACAGACCATACCTACTCCAGTAAGCCCGAGGACGCCACTAAAGCTCTCTCCCTAACACCCCCTCACACCCCCAGACTTCTCCCACCTATGGGTCCCCCTTGGGCTCTCCAGCCCTGAGAGGGGAAGACAGCAGCCTGAGATCACACAGAAAATCCATCTGCAGGGTTCAGGCTGCATCACAGAATGGAGCAGGGACCACAGCCTGAGCACAGGGAGGTGACGGAGGGGACAGCAGGGGGCTGCAGCCAGCCCCTGCCCAGTGTGAGAAGCCACCCCTAGCTCCCGCCCATCTGGACCAGAACCAGCACCAGAAGCATCCTGAATCCTGCCGTCTCCATAGGAACCAAGGCCTCTGCTGCCTCCTCCCCAACCTCACAGGGGTGAGCGCTGTCCCTTGGCCTGTGGGGGTGACTGGTACACATGCCACACAGCCCTGCTGTGTTCACACTGGCTCCCATTTTGTGTCCAAATGCACATACACACTCTGCACCCAGTACACACACACACACACACACACACACACACACACACATACACACCCCAGCTCCATGGGCCTGCACACCCATCAGCCCACACATGCATGGTCACCAGCATTTACACCAGCCCTGAGGCCCCCCACACAGCCACATGAGCAAGCCCAGCTGGCCACACGTGCAGGCACGCGCAAAACTGGCTCACGCACACACACTCAGTGCCCGCAGCACCCAGCATGCCCGGAAGAGCCCGGCCAGCCAAGCGTGAGGTGCCCGCCCCCAGGGAGGCCACTGTGGGAGGCAAAGGCTGGCAGTGGCTGAGTCAGCCCAGGGAGCCAGCAGGGACAAGGCAGGGACATTGTGGGTCCAGAGGGGGGGTTGGGTGGGGACAGCAGGCAACAGCTGTAGTGGTCAGATCAGAGTGGCGGGGACACAGGTGCCACCCTCAGGCCCGCAGATCCTCCTGGGGTAAACCGTGCCCTCCCACAGCCCAGCCAGGTCCTCTTCAGAAGGTGAGTTCCTGTTCTGCTGCCCCACCCCCTCCTCACCTGGCCACCACCTCGTCGTCCACCTTCACCAGACAGTAGGGGTCGCTGCTCCCAGACCTGTGGGAACGCTTAGTGTTCAGCTGGGCACTGAGGCCCAGAGAGGCTGGGGCCTGGCCCAGCTCCCACAGCAAGCGCAAGGCGGATGCAGGAGTTGAGAGGACAGCAGCAGAGATGTCACTGCTGCCTAGGCAAATCACCTGCTGTGCACCTGACCCACCCCACATGTGCACCCATGGAGTGGGACCCTGAGGCAGGAAGCCAGAGGCTGGGAGTTCTGGCCCCGGAAAGCCCACCGCAGCAGCCAAGAGCATCTTCCACCCGCAACAGGGCAAGGCCCTTCCCCTCCAGGCCTCAGTCTCCCTGCTCTGTCCATTGGACAGAGTGCTACCATGCTTCCTAGGATGTCCCACTAAGGGCTGGAGAGGTGGGCCATGGGTCCTGGTCCTCAATGCCCCTTTTGGGGTAAACACTGCCCTCCCAGGGTGGCCCTGCAGGCACAGATCAGGGGAGTTGGACCTCAGGACCATGTGCTGCCTCCCCAGTGCAGCCGTGAGTGCTGGGCCAGCCAACGCCAGCTCACCACCCCCCTTTCATAATAGTAGTCACCAGCAAACTGTGAGCTGTCCAGCAGGCCCCTCACTCATGACTGAACCCAAAAGTCATCTCCTTATAGGGCCATCCCTGGCTACCACTGCCCTGGCCTCCAACCAGGTAAGTGGTGTAGTCCCAACTATTTGGTAGGCTGAGGCAGGGGGATCACTTGAGCCAAGGACTCAGAAGCCTGCCCAAGCCCTGTCCCAATAGATAAATGAATAAATAAATGGAATCCAAAGCACCCCTAAATCGTCTTCCTGCCTATTTCTCTATGTGTTACATCCCTGACTCCCGCCTCCCCACAACTTGCAAGCTGTGAGCTCCTGGGGGAGAGCCAGCGCCGCTTCCCTACCTCCCTGGCCTAGCGTCGTCACTGCAGAGATCTTGCTGAATGAACAGATGGGTGGGTTCCCACCCAAGTCTGTGGGCTCCTAGCCAGTGTCCCCTCTGCCCCCTCCCAAGGCTTCTGCTCACCCCCAGCTCTGCCCCTCTCTCGCTCTTTCTCACTGCCACCCCCTCTCTGTTCAGCCTGTCACAGATCCACAGATGTCCCAGGAATTCCAGGGAACAGTCAGAGCTAGGACTTTGCCGCGCCCCGAGCCTCAGTTTCCCCATCTGGACACCTGTTGCGGGCAATGCCCTGCATCCCTCTCTTATGGGGCTTCCATTCCTCAGTGGAGTCTCAGGGCCCGCTGGCTGAGATCTCACCAGCACATGGCGGGGCAACCCTCCCCCCTGCCCCTGGTGTGACCCTGGGCCCTTCCTGGGAGCTGAGCCCAGCTCTGGGCTCTGACGCACAAGAGCCTTATCAGGCTCCTATCGGTAGGGGCAATGGCACTGGCGGAAGGAGCCAGCCCTGCCAGACTCTGTCTCTCCTCCTGACTCCTGTCCTCTCCCACGACCCTGCCCCACTCGGACAGGCGCAGGAAAATGCGTCCCTTGGCCACTACCTGCCCGGACTTCAGCAATCAGTGCCCAAGCCCTAGTTGTGCGATCTTGGGCAAGCGACCGCCTCTCTGATCCTCACTTTCCCCATGTGGGATTCCAGGAAGCCCATAGGAAGTGCTAAGCGCAGGACCTGCCCATAACCGGCCCGCAGTGACCAGCAGTAGCTACTGTCAGCAACAGAAATAACTAAAGCTACATGCAGAGGGCTGGTCTCCCCATAAACCTAGCCAGAGCCGGCCCCAGTCTGGCCTTTCCCTTAGGAGTGCAGAGAGAACACAGCCCACAGAAGTGCCCATGGGCACGAGGACCCCAGCATATTCTGAGAAGAGTGTTTCTGAAGACTGGAACGGACCAGAGAAACTGAGGAAGAGTGACTGGCTAACCAGGTGAAGCGTAGTGGGTCTCCTCACCCTTGCTCAGGGGCATGGCCTCAGAGCTGGAGGGGAGGGGGGCTGGGTACAGGACCCAGGCTTAGTCCGTGGGGAGCCCTCTTTCTGGTCCCTTCAGTTCTCCAGCAGCTGTCAGACCCTGTCCCTGACCTCGAGGCCACTGAGGGTCCAAAACCTAATTCGCAGGGGCTCCAAGGGGACATCTCAGAAAGAAGGTGGCAGGGGCTTGTCCAGCTTTTTCTGCTTTGCTCTCGGGTGCGTGTTTATTTGGGGTGGCTGGTGGGGGGCTGAAATCACTATAGCAGGCCCCCCACACACACACATGCACCCAGAACTGCAGAGCTGGGGGTGGGTAACAGAGGCAGGAGACTCCCCACCAGAACCCCAACCTTGGCCTGGGGGAAGATCTAGTGGCCTGCTCAATTCCTAACAGCTCCCTGACCCTCAGGCTGAACCCATAGCCCAGATGCAGACTGCCCAAGCTCCCACTGCCCGCATGGGAAGCCGAGGCTCCTGAGGAAGCGGGTTCAAGGTCACCCGGCAAGCAGCCTTCTAAGGATCCCACACCTGTCCCAGGTCCTTGCACCCTCAGCCCCTGCAGGGCTCCCTGCCAAGCAGGAAGGGATCCCCCTCCGAACCCTTCTGCTGAGTTCAGCAGCTGCTGACTCAGCGCTGGGGATTCAGAGTCAGGGATCAGGACTGAGGGGTCTCCTGCCCCGTCACTCGTGGCAGGTGTAAGGGCCACTGGGGTAGTTGGCCCTGTAAGCGGCTCAACACCCAGAAAAGCCCACCCCCGGCCACCAGCGGAACCCCACGGTTCTGGAGGTCGAGGCTGGAGCCCGAGGACCCCAGGGGGCCACCTGGTGACGGCGATGCTCTGCAAACCTAAAATCAGATGTACTCAGTGTCGGGCGCCACTGATCCCTAGCCTTCTGGAGCGCCGCCCAGGGCTCCCTCCATAGCCCCACACACATACCTGGCCTGGAGAAGCCTCTCCTGCAGCCCCTGCCCAGACTGGGAAGGGACCCCTCAGCTCTCTCCCCAGCTCCGACAGGATCCGATCCTGAGCCCCCCCCCCGCAAACTCACCCCCCCTGCGCTACAGAGGACCCCAAGAATGCATCCCCATAACAAAAGACACCCCTTCCTGGGCGGGGCGGGGCACCAGCTGAGCCGGGAGCCCCCTCTCACCAAGATAGCCCCGGGTGCGCGGTCTGAGGCAGAGTGAAGGCGGCGCTACCTTGATGGCACGCTGGGCACGACCCCGCGCTTCTGCCGATGCCCCGGTACTCACACGTCCTTGGCGGGCAGTGCCCGGCCTTCCACCACGCGGATGTGCAGGGAGCTGCTCTTGGCCATGGCGCGCGGCCCAAACTTTCGGGACAGGAGGCGTGCAGGTCCCGAGGCTGGACCCCGGGCATCTACATGTCACCAGCTGCGAGCCTGGCGCCCTGCCCGGGCTCCCGGCGCCACCTGTCCGAGACAAGCGCTAGCAGCCGGATGGAAGGGAGGTTTGGGGAGGAGCGCAGGTGCCAGGGAGGGGGTGCCGGGCTCCACAGGTAGGCGCGTTCCCAGCTGCCGGCCAGGCACAGACACGGGGCTCTGGCCTCAGCGTCTGAGCGCTGAGACTACCCGCTGGGCGGCAGGGGGCGGGAAGGGAGGCCCCGCGCCTTCCCCCCAATCCCGCCTCCCGCGGGGTCCCCCGCCCGCCTGCGCCCCTCGCGCGCCCCCTGCCGGCGCCCCGCGGAGAGCCCGGGAGGGGCAGGGCTGGCAGGAGGGGCGGGGCTCGGCCGCTGTGGGCGGGGCCTCGGCCCCAAAGAGCAAGTTCTGAAGCAGCACCCACGTGGCGGGGTGCCACTCTCGAGATCGCGCGTCCCCTGAGGTCCTCTCGTAGTCGAGCGCGGGGCCCAGCACCCCCTTCCATCGCGTCTTAGTCCTCGTTGAACTCCGAGGGGCTGCGAAAGCGTCGCGGGCTGGGTCACGGTGAGGACCTGGGCCACCCAGGCTGAGCGCCGGCATCGCTCCCGCCCGTGTCTTGTGTGCTCTTGCGCCTTTGCCCGCATTTGTGGATCCAGCACCTGAGGCCCAGAGAGGCTGAGTTGCACAGCCAGGAACCAAATGCCTTCCGAGTCTGAGTCCTGGCTCTGCTACTGATTAACTGTGTGGTCTGGGACAGGGCCCTTCCCCTCTCTGCTTTGCCTTGCTTTTTGCGTGTCTTCAGTGGGGGTGGCAGTGGCTCTGGCAGGGATCAGAATTACAGGAGGACATGCAGGGAAGGTCCCAGAACGAGCTTTCAGAGAGTGCTGCGATGGTGGGCCTGCCCAGGGTGACCCAAACCTCCCAGTCACCTCTCCTGGGAAGCCTTCCAGGATGCCCCCACCCCATGCAGAGATTTTTCCTTCCCTCTTCGCGCCCAGCTGTCCAACTGTGTGCATTTTTCAAGTTTTAAATGAGATACCGGCCCGTCCCAGGATCACACTGACACACATTTTCTTCCTGGCAGGACCAGGGCCTGGTCTGACTCAATGGAATCAGCTCAGGGCTGGGCAGTGATTGCTGCAGTTGACGCCCTGACTGGCAAGACTGGAGCACCCTGCCCGGCTGCTCACTGCCACCCTGGGAGCCTGGTCCTCAGTGGCCCCATCCAGGAAGTGAGCCTGGCAGACCAGGCCTCAAGGCTCAGGAGCATTTCCCAAGGATGTGGGGGATGATCCGGGTCAAATCCAGGACAGGGGCAACCATCTGCACATCTCCCCAAAATATAGCCTGGTGTGATGGTGGCACATACATAATCTCAGCACTCAGGAAGCTGAGGCAGGAGAATCTCAGGAAGTATGGGGCCTGCCTGAGCTATATGGTGAGTTCAAGGCCAATCTGAACTACCTAGAGACAAAATGTAAAGGCAACAGAAAAGTAAAAGTGCAGTCCAGGGGGTCACAGGCCTTGCTAAGGAACCTGGGCTCCGAGAGAGGGGCCCTTCATCATCCCTCCCCTCTCAGGGCAGAAGCTTCTGGCTCACCCCTGTTCCCCCGCAGGTTGCGGAGAGCTCAGACAGCATACTGACTCCCCACACACACATCCTTGAGGGACCTGAACAGCCTGGCCCTGGGACCCTTGGACACCCGCCAACTGCCACCAGCTACCTTTGGCTCCTCTGAGCAAAGCCAGAAGTCCCCTCCCTACCCCCTGGGGGGGGGGGCGATGGCTGGGGCCACAACCACCCGCCAGGCCTCCAGGGAGCTGGCTCTGTCACCCGCCCTCTATCTGCAGTCTGACCCATAATCACCCGGGGCAGTGGTCACACTCCCTAAATTTTCCACAGGGCCTGGCCACTTCCTGTTGTTCATAGAAGCTTTGACCTGGAACTGGCAGGGGTGGAGTTTTCCTAGGACCTGCAGGGGGCACCAGCCAGGAAGAGGGAGGAGAGCTCATTGTGCCCCTGGGGTTGTTAGAAGAACCAATCACGAGGGCACCTGGCATTGTTCCTGGCATCCATAGTAGGTGCTCAAGAAAAGGTCAGGCTCTGCCCCTGAGCTCCCTGAAGGTGAACGCATGGGCGTCTTCCTGCCAGCTTTCTGCATGTGCAGTCTGTGCCCTTGGCCGCGCAGCGGGTACTCTACGAAGGCTGAAGTAGGGAGTGCCAGGCTCTGGGCGTAAGAACAGAGGTTTAGGACAGGCTGATCCCGGGACTGAATCTGGGGCCCAGTGTTCTCTGCCAAGTGAGTTCCCCGGTCCTCGACCTCCGCCCTCATCTGTCAGCCGGGGCTTGTACTAGCTATTGCCTGTCTCGCGGGGGACACACGTGAGCTTGGAGTAAAAGACGCGGCAGATGTGTGCACCACTGGTACACAGCAGGTGCTCACCGAGAATCCCAGCCACCGTAAAAGTCCCCATTCCACAGGGACGGGGAGATGGCTCAGTGGAATAAGCACTTCCCTGGCAAGCTGGAGTGACCCACTTCGGGGGCTAGTGTGGTTCACAACTTTGGAACTGGGTAGACCTGTGGACTTGGGCCCGAGCGGAGAACTCTGCTGGAGAGATCCCAAGGGCAGGGTCTGAGCTCCCCTGCGGCCTCACTACCAAGACCGGCTCAGGCCCCACTATATTTGACCCGTGGGCACCAGGGCCACAGGGAGTGGAAAGAACCTCTCATCCTGAGAGGCCCAGACCTAGAATAAGTGTTGGGGTGCAGGTTGAAATACAGTACAGGCTTTCTAGGGTAGCAGTAATGCAGTGGACTATTATATGGCTAACAACAAAATCTAGCTAAAGGCATGTTTATTTATTAATATGTATTTTTCAGAGCTGAGAATTGACAAAGCCTGTGCAGCGCTAAGCAAGCCCTGTGCTACCGAGCAATGTCTCCAGCGCCCAAAGAATACTTCATAGCAAACATAAGAGACAGGGGTCAGACAGCATAGTCAACCATATGTGCAGTACGATCTGGATGCCTTACAATGTGATGTGTGCATGTGTGACATGTTGATATTTAACTAATGTGTACCGAGCACCTGTTGTGTCCTGGGCTGTGGGGACATGGTTAGGTGGCAGCCCAGGCCTGGTCCCCTGGGGCTCGGTAGAGAGGAGGGAAAGACAAAAGTGACACACAGCTAACTAAATAAGGTACTCTCGGGGGAGGGAAGAGGAAGTGGTGAGCTGTTTTCTAAGGCTTTGTGCCAAGTGCTTTGTTTAAAATCTGACAGTAAACCTCAGTGAGGTGGGTTGCGACTGTTGTGGCAGCTAGGCTGAGGCAGGAGGACTGCCTGAGCCTGGAGTTTAGGGCTGTTCTGGAGACATAGATCCTGCCCACAGCCACCAAAAATGAAAAATCAGAAAGCAATCCATGCATCCTGAAAGACCCGCGCTTCAGGCTCCTCACCTGGACTCCAGGAAGCCCTGGCGGGAGGGGAAGGCAGCGGCCTCCCTCTCACCGCTGTGACCTTGCCCTGCTGTTCCCTTGTTCTGTGATGGTCTACATGCGCGTCTCATCTCCTAAATGTCAGGGACAATATCTGATTCATGCAGCGCCTCCCACGCGGCTTGGCACGGAAGGCTCAAACCCCGCTCACTGGCTTCCGTGGAAATCGGTTCCCCACAGCGGGATCCCAGCCGAGGCTCAGAGGTGGCCTGCAGCCACTTCCTCTGTCCTTCGGTGCCAGGGACAGCGGCCCATCCTTGGGCATCCACCCATGCCCTGTGCCCCTCCAGCCCTGCGCAGGGGGCAGTGCGTCCTCGGTTTCCTTCCAGGGACGGAGGTCATCGTCCCTTCTGGGTCAGGGCTGGGGCGAGGCGGACAGGTCGCTGGCTTGGGCTGCAGGTAAGGGGCGTGAACTTTGTCTGTGGAACACAAAGCCCCGTTGTGATGCCGGCGTGATTCTGGGCAGGCAGCCACGTGAGGCAGGAGGCGCGGTGGGCAGAGGGGCGGGACTGCCAAACCTGGCTCTGGCAGGAGGCCCCGGGAAGCCAAGCCGAGAAGTCCCCTCCTTCCAGGGTGCAACGACCAGGTGTCTTTTCTCCCTCCGTGGGCGCCAGCTTCCTCCGTCCTCCCTTAGACCCCCGAGGGCCCCCGCCCCGCACCCTGCATTGGAATGGAGAAGTAGGGAGCAGGTAGCCCAGCATGGTCGGTGGCCAAGGTCAGACCAGCCCAGAAGGTGTCTTGTGTCCCTGGCGCTGCTCTCAACCCTCCCCAAGAGGCGGGGACAGAGGCCGGCAGGAGGCCGCAGGGGAAGCACAGCATGCCCCCATCAGGCCTCTGAAGACTGCAGGGCAGGGCACCTGCTTCCTGCTTTCTCCTCTTCTCTGTCTGGAGCAGCCCAGGGCGCTGGGGCCACTAGAGAGCTAAACACACATTGAGCTAACGCTGAAGTTCCCCTTACTCCGGGAAGAATGGAGAGAATCAAAAAATCATGGCCAGGGCGCGGGGAGATAGCTCAGTAGAATAAGTGCTTGCCTGGCAAGTACAGGGTCTCGAGGTCAATCCCCGGTACCAGAGAGAGAGGGAGAGAGAGAGAGAGAGAGAGAGAGAGAGAGAAAGAGAGAGAGAGAGGGAAGGAAGGAAGGAAGGAAGGAAGGAAGGAAGGAAGGAAGGAAGGAAGGAAGGAAGGAAATGAAATGAAATCACGGCCCAGGGCCAGCCAGATAGCTCAGCAGACTAAAGCGCCTGCTTAGGCAGAGGGCACGGCACGGGCTGGGGCCAGAGTTGGATCCCTGGAGTGCTGTGCAGCCCTCCCCCCCAGGGGGCGCCCTAGGAGGTCTATTGAGACTGGGCATAGTGACGCACATCTGTAATCCCAGCATTTGGGAGGCTGAAAAACAGGAGGATCACAAGGAGTCTGATCTACATCGTGAGACCCTGTAGACCCTGTACCAAATACAAAGAAAAAAAGAAAAAATTCGCTAACTGCTGAGAGTTGGGGAAAGAGAATTGTTCTACACTGTTGTAATCTTTGTATGGAGATTCCTCAAAAACATAACTGTGGGGAGATAGCTCAGCGGTCTAAGCACTTGCCTGGCAAGTGCAAGGACCTGGGTTCAATTCCCACTACCACACATGCTGTGCCGGCCCTGGATCCTTGCACACGCCCATAATCCCAGAGCTGGGGAGGCTGAGACAGGAGGATCACTATGAGTCTGAGCTGTGTAGTGAAACCCTGTACCAAA